TCATTAACAGTAAAACCGATATAAGTTTAATATCATATACTACCAAAATCTATAGAAAAATATTGTCTATTAGCGTTTGTGGTTTAATAGGGTTCCTATTTAAAAATCAAATCTATAATTATTTGGACAGAAAAGAATGAAAGTTATCAATTGAAAAAGTTTTAAAATAAACAAGCTTAAACAATTCCACAGAGATAAAAAAAAAAAAAAATAAGTAAAATCCACTTAAATCATTTGATAAAATCGCTATTTCATGAAAAGTGAATCACTCTGTGTATAAAATCAACCAATTGACGACAAGATATCGGATGTTTCCCCGAGACCCGTTTCGCCGTCAGTTTGTTATTTACACAATTATAATAAAATGGCAAAGGAATATAAAACGCTTTAAAAAATATTGATGGGCAGTCAAAAGGCCGAAAAATTTCAAATTTAAAATCAGTTTTTTCCCTTAACGCCCTGAAAAACTACAGGAGAATCTTTAATTAATTAATTTAAAAAATGTTCACTACTAAAAAAAAAAAAAGTTACAGTGTTATAATTAAAAAATAAATTTTACAACGGTTTTTAATTTTTTCGGAGGAAAAAATAACAGAAAATTTCATTAAAAAAAATAAAAAATTGAATTTTATATATATAAATCAGTTGTTCAAAACATTTTTACACTTCTGTCTTTTTGTTCGGATTAAAGGAGAAAAGAAGGGGTGGACCAAAAAGGCTGTATAGAATAAATATAAAAAGGGAACGTCAAAATATTTTTAAAAAGCTTAACAAACCGGATGGATTCAAAGAAGGTCGTTACAATATTTGCCTGTATCAGAGAACAAAACGATGTATATGTATAAAATATATATTATTTATTATAATGTTTTTGATGATTATAACGTCACTATGTAGGTATATACTGCACTTATAATTTGTACGCGTTACACGTAAATGTCACAGCGGAGGACGAGATTTTTATTTCAATTTCTATTTTTTTTCCTTCTTGTTCTTCCATACCGCAATCAAGCAATCGTCAAAAAGAAAAAAGATAAAAAAATAAAAAAAGGCAACGGTGGAAATTAACGCGATAATGCTCCAGGGGTATTATGTGTTCAGTGTGTGTGTGTATATGTGTACATGGCTCGTACGTGCGTTTTTTTACATTTTTCTACGTGGTTTTTAAACGCAAAGCCGTCCGTTTTTCGAGTGTTCTACTTAGTCAGTCGTGCACGAAAAGTATTACCTACTTACGTATACGTAGAAATGCGTATAGATATTATAACAATTATATTATTTGCTATACTTGTTCTATATAGCCAAAGGCTAAAACGTTTGAAGTGAAAAATATCGAGATTGCAAGTGATAATGTTTTCATTCAAATGTTCCGTTTTTCATGATAAAATAATGTTCTAAAAACATATTTTAAATTTTTCTGCTTAAGATAAAATTAATTTAGCAATATTTTTAGATTATAGACTGTTAATCCTTTCCTGTTAATCAGATTTACGACAAAAAATATTCTCCGATCGAATCTATGTTTAAAGGAGGAGATTTCTATTCGATAATGAAAAGTACTATTTGAAGTAAGTATACGAATTAAGAGTGAAAATTGAAAATTATGATGTTAAAATTCATATTCAATAATAATTTCATAATGACTGAATAAAATTAGACATAAATTCACTTTAAATCATCGCGAGAAAATCGCTGGTTAATGATAAATATATCATTTACAAACAGGGCGAAAGACAAAGACGACCAACGTGGCTAATGTGACGATCTCTTAAAATAGTTAGGAAGGATTTTCCTAATTATTTCCAATCATGTAAAATGGTTTAATTAATTTTTTATCTTTAAATAAAAACTATAATGGCCTTTTTATTAAATTGTGGTCAAATACTGGTTTAAAAAAAATGGATACGGTGATTTGACGGACGAATATAACATGACGTTTTAGACCAGTAGACAAGTCATTAGCGGTGGAAGACAAGGTATACGTCCCAATGATCGATTATAATTTTTAAACTAAGTAAAGATTTATTTACAAATTAACTAGGCTATTAAGAAATTCGATTTTTTTATTTAAAAATTGTCTTGCCCGAATTCTGAAATAAATATAATTATATTTATATGATATAGTTGCTTACAAATTTGATAGTTTTAAATTTGTTTAACTTGTATACATTTTGTACTAAAACAAGAGTGCGAACTCTCATTTTTTATTGTGAACATTTGGTGCCTTAATTAAGTCCATAAACCAAGACGTTTTAGTCCTCACGAAACGGGTTTTCAAAAACAATTTTGTTAATTACACGATTTCGCAATAAATACTATTGTGATAATGACACGAGTCGTAAATGTATTTTAAAATGAATTTAAATACCTTAAAATAAAATTTAATTTTGCCAAAATTGTCGAGAAAATTGGTCATACGTGACCCATTTAAATACCGGATGTATAGCACGTCCTCTTAAAGCGAAATATTTGTTTAACACCCCTCGAAATCCATGGCTATACGTTCATTAGATCCTTAATTCACGTTTACGTGCGATTAAAAAGCGAATAATCGGACAAAAAAATATACAAAAACAGGCAGTCGAGTGTTGTGTATATGCAGGAATACAGTTATATTTTAACGTGAATTTCTTAAAAATAAAATAATAATCATAATCATCGTCATAATAATATTATACGCGCGTTCTTTTCGTTAACGAACGGGCGAGAGTCTTATATCTATCTTGTTGAAACAGCGTAAACAAAATCGTTTAGCTAACAACTTTCTAGTTTCTTATTATTATTATCATTTTATTTTCCCTAATTAATTCGGAATTTACGAGCAAACTAATTCGCCGTTCGCACTCCTCTGTATACTTAATTTAGTACATTTTTTTTTTATTTTTTTTTTTTTTATCAAAACAAACAGTCACTACCGATTTTCCCCTTAAACTTGTGAACTGTTCACAAAGTGCACACAGTAATAATGTAGTGTCGGTAAAGATAACCAATTTCTTCAATCTAGATATACAGAAAGAACCCCTAGCAAACTCCTATCACCCTTCCACTAATTTTACCGGGAGGTGAAAGTTCATTTAATAAGCACTCTCTGGATAAACTATCGGGTTGACTAGTGTTTCCCAATTGAAATTTTACCCTCTTTCCCAGGTAAAAATTACGGGATCAATAATCATTGAGACACCGCGTATTTATTTTCTCATAGTTGTCGTGACGAAAATGTTTTTTTCAAATTTATCCCACGCCTATAATAATATCATGTATACCTATGCAAAAGTTCGCGAAAAAACCAAAATTATTTTTCAACCGATAAGGAAAACGTAGTCTTTACCGGGTCACTCGAATTACGATGCAGGGCAAATGTTTACCATTCCCTTGATTACACCACTTTTCGCTTTGCCGAACATTTAACCAATCGATTGTCAATATTATACGGACAAACGGCATTTCCGAATAAACGACGCTTTAAATCGGCTACCTCGAAATAATCACAATAAACACAAAGTGAGGTGCACAAATATTACTACGTGACCTTAGGTGGTAAAAGCCACGAGGATGCGCGATCAACTTAATTTCAAATTCCGATAACCTTTTTTTTTTTTCTCGAAAAATAGAATGTTTAGACCGTCATATTAAAAGTAAAACGAACAAACCAATGGGAACTATACAGGTTTAGAAAAAGCATTTCAAACCAGAGTTGATACGACTGTAGACGGGTGTAAGTGGGAACTAAAGAAAGCAAGATATTTAGATTAATTTAAATTATAAATGTACGCAACAGTAAATCATAACTAACGAAAACTGGTTATAAAAAAAAAAAAAAAAAAAAACTATTGTTTACGGTATATTTATATTTTCTTAGAATTTACGACTTATTTCGCGTGAAATTTTCAAACATTTCTATTCAGCCAAAATAGTTTTATTCATATAAAATCAAAATGAAAATACGTACCACAATAACAATTTCCGTTATTTTCAAAATTGTTATTGTTAAATGTTATTGTAAAAATAGCCGTAGAAACTTGAATATTTCGAATACCTATAAATAGCTCGAAAATTGTTCCAGTTTTAATATTTCATGTCTCTAAAATTGTTTTTAACTAAATTACAATAGATCAGAAATTACTGGAACAGTCATTTCGTAAATTTTACCATTTTCTTAAGTTTCCCTGTCAATAATAAAGAAAATTACCAAAAAAAAAATCGAAAAAAGGCCTCATAAGTGCACAAACAGATATTGAAGATTTCAAATTTTCATTTAAATTATTATTATTATAATTTATTCATTACTTGTAGAAAAATGATTATGCATTAATTCTTTTTAATTGGCCACGCCGGGCTCTGGGAAATTAAATTTCCCGCCGGCGTTCCGCTGATGGGTCGGCCGCTGTTAAGTACCGATCATTAACTCGCGAGAGGTGAAAAATACTATAAACGTGTCCGGGACGTGTGCCTCGCGAATTACATTCATCGTAATAATTATTGACCGATCCTAAACTTGAAAATTATGAATATAATTTCGTGTGTTCGCTATTTTTCGCAATACACTATAATAATAATAATAGTAACAACGGCGAATTCGGGCGGCAGACTTTACAAACGTACGGCCACCGTCACGTTGATAAATCCCGTACAGGTGTTTGGTGTAAATGTGTGCACCCGTCGCTTTGCGTTTTTCGAACGTTAATAAGTATTAGCGATATTTCGTCGTTCGCCGAATGCGTTTCCGCGTCCATTTTGTCTCACTCGATCGGGTCGATTAATTTTCATCGACTTACCGATTGCACCGCACGGTATTCTTATATGATATTCGCGCACTAACATTACATTTTATACGTAGTTTATTATTAATTTATTTTTCCAGAACTGATCGTGCAGTGAGATGTCGGTTCTGCGTTACAGATCCCGAATCACGATCCGCGTCGTGACCGCAGCCGTCGCCGTCCCAGTGGGACACCGCGGCGGCTGACGGCCGCACTGCTTGAACCTGCTGTCGCACCGACATGGATCGGACGCCGTCGTCGTGTTGCTCGCAACCGGCGTCCACGTACAATAACTATGGGGCGGCGGACGCGACCATTGGCGGATATCCGTCGTCATACAACGGTCACGCCCCGCTTACGTCATCGTCGTCTTCTTCGTCAGCGGCCGCCACCACCGCCACTACGGTTATCGGCGTCGGAATGTCCGCGGACGATGGCCAAGGGTGTTTCTGTTGCGACAGTGATGACGACAGCGTAGAACGGGCACGCGTAGCCCACGCGAAACGTAAGTGCTACAAGAGCTGTCTGCGGAATGCGTTCGTGTGCGCTCTGCTCGTGTCGTATACATTCGCCGGAGCGCTGATATTCCTCAGTATTGAGGGTGACGTGGACGCCGCAGACCTAGACGACGAGGGAGGTGGCGGTGGCAATAGCTTGGGTGGCTCCGGTGGCCCGGTCCGGCTGGCTGGTCTGATGCCAGCCCAACCCCAGAACCTAACAGTCGCCTCGAGGGCGGCCGCGGCTGCTATTGACGAGAGCCGAGCCCGCACCGTGGAAACTATATGGGAAATCACGGTCAATCTAAACATACTGTACCGGGAGAACTGGACGAGGCTGGCCTCTCAGGAGCTGAACCGTTTTCAGGAAGACCTGATACGCCGGCTGATGCAGCAGATGGAGATCGAATCGGCCGCCGTCAGCTATCACACGGGCGGCAGCAGTGTAAGTTTCGATCACGACGGCGGTGATTCCGTGGACGGCCCGTTCGAATGGAACATGGCCACGTCGTTTCTATACTGCCTTTCCATACTCACCACGATCGGTAAGTGCGTTTCCGAGGTTCATATGAAGTGAGATTTATCGCGTCATAGGATCTGTCATTTCAAACATAGATAGCATAATAGTTTATGACGATTAACGTCACGACAGATCACAAAAACCGGGTTAATTAATTGAATGGCCCAGCCATGCATAATTTTTAACTAAAATGTATAAAAAGAGCTGATACTGGGGATGCATAGAGTTATTTCATTTATATCTGCAAGCAATGATAAACTATTGTTTGACGGCAATACTTGATAATATAAGTATTATTACTAAAGACCGGATTTATATTCTCTTAAAACACCTAAAATATAATGCTAATATTCTATCCTAAACTATTCTCATAATATTCTCTTAGAAGTTTGAAAATTATGCAAAAATAATCAATGAACATCAATATATGCTTTAATATGCAATTTGTTTAAATTTTTTTTTTACCACATTCCATAAATAATTAGTGATACTTGTTTATCAAAATAGAATAATAGTGCAGTCAAGTATATAAATAATATAACATTATAGGGAATTTATTTTTAAAAACTTAAAAATCACGTTACACGAACAGAATATTTACACATTTGAATAGCTGATATTGTTTGATGATAAATAAATGCGTTGATTTTATTATCAGTATGAAAACAACTGTCACCATTGCAGATTAGCCATCATCATGTTTAGTGAACGGTAACTTATAATAGGTAGGTACTAAACACTAAACCTTTTTAACAAAATGAAACAAAAAAAATTTGAAATGCTCAAAATTTATTTTTCCAGGTACTGTATTATTAAAATTAATAATTTTTTCTCAAAATTTACAAAATATTCTAATTATACAAAATAAGCTAAATATTCCTCAACCCATGAAATATTCTCAAATAGACAAAAAAAAAAAAGGTTTTCCTACGAACTCAGAATTAAACATATCGTCAACATTTCTTACTTCCATAAGACTGCATAAACTCAGTAACGATATGTAAAATGATAAAAATTCAGTATTTAATTATTACCAAGTTTCAAGTCTGTACGTATATTTATAACCGAATTACAACAAAAAAATTAAAATCCCTTATAAGCTCAAAAGTGGCTCAAACATTTTGGTGATGATACCGTAAGAAAGTAAATCAAGAAAGGAAAACAAAGTAGTGATTTTTCGATTAAATTATTTTTTCTGGTAGAAAACGTCGTCCGTGTTTTTATAAAATAATGAAATCGTGAAATTGTACGTTTTCCTACGTCTTTTTCACAATTAATTGCTTTTATTTAAAAAATGACGTATCAATTTGTTGTGTACCATCTAGACAACTTAAGCTTTGAGAAAAATTGCTGTACGTAAAAATCGGAGGAAGTTTACTAGGAAAAAACGTGTCCACAGACTAGAAGAAGAAAAAAAAATACACATCTTAGTAATATCAATAGCTTCCTCGCTACGCTCGGAATCTTAGATCAAAACAAATCGAAAAATTATGATATATAAAACTAATTCATTTATATCTGTACTCAATGATAATTCACGATTTCCAAATAAGACGACTTAATCTAAAATGTAACAAACAATATTTTCTCTGCTGCATAAAAATTGAATTGTACGTATATTTTTGGAAGTCGTTATTAATCGCAGCCTATTCATCCATATACAATTTAATGTTTTTTTCGTCCAAATTTTTCGTAATGAAATCTGTGTATGAAATCGTTTTTAGCAGGAGGGAAAAAAATATTTTTCACAGCTACTTTTTCATTCGTCGTGCATCCTCACTGTCCTATAAGTACTAAAAACTCGTAGTCCAAAAACGAAATCACCCAAATAACCTAAACCGAACTAATCGACACTCATAAAAACATTGATGTAGATATCTATCTTTCCATTTAAGAAAAATGAAATAAAATAGCAAATAGAGAAGTTTTATAAACACAAATATATCAAACATCAATACCAACTTCATCGAAAAAATCTATTCTCCCTAAATGATATAACTATTCACATCAATAAAAAATAAAATTTAACCGAAATTCACTCAAAATCATATTTCGTTCGCAGTAATTTGTCGTCGCTTACAGATATAATTTTTTTTTTTTTTTTTTTTCATTTATTTAATCTACTTTAGTTGGGTTTCGCAGATTCCGCATGAATCGAAACTGCAGACCACCCCACATCAGTCTAACGCAAAAAAAAAACGGCCAACGGTCGAATCGCGGTACACGTCCTATAAAACCAAAAGTGCACGGGACAAAAGACACTATACGTTTTGCAATAATAGTTGTCGACGCATAATTCATTATTGTAGATTTCCTGCTGGTACAAGAACGGTTACGCGTTCGTTTACCAGAAAACGCATTGTTTCCCCAGGAATAATTCCCTGTAAACGCGTCGCTGCCGCCGACACCGTGTGTGTGAATTTATACATCTCTAAATCATTTGGTTCTTTGTGAATTTTGTATAGTAACAATATAATATTATACGGTCGTATATACCGGATTCGTTTCAAAGTACAATTTGTTCGCGAGTTAAATGTGCCGCTAAAAGTCCGTTTTCCATTTTTATTGTGTTACTATTATTCATATTATTATTACAATAGTGGCTGACTTTCAAATATTTCAATATGTATTCGAAATACGTATTTTTGTACTTAATTGTTCTACCCTCTTTTTTTTTTTTTTTTTTTAGAGAGAGAAATTTAAAAAAATATCGCGCATCTTGTTCGATTTTTGAGTACCTAAGGTAAAATCGTTTATGAATCTGTGAAGTATAGAAAAATATACCTGAAAAATTCGATTTCGTTTCGAATGTCTGTTAATATACCTACGTTTTTCTTTTTAAGGATTAATAGCCTTCAAGTCCATCCCTCTAAACAATTACTGCTCCATTTATTCCCAGTCTTCGCTATTCTATCCATTGTACTCTAGGTTCCACAGTTACTATGTACCTGACAAAACAATCATCCCGTCTTAAGCGAATTATTCATGGTGATTGCTGATAGTTGATTTTTGGATGATTTTGTTTAATTTTTAACATACGCAAAAAAATATTATTTTTTATTATAATTTTGAAGAAAACTTTACTGGCCGAAAAGTGACACTTGCCGAAAAAGGAAAAATACATTTTGGGTAAAAATGCCACCCGTGTATATGTTACTAATAGACCGAGACGATATAAAGTAACAATATATTTTTAAAATAGCGCCTTTCGTGAACACTCGCATAATATTATACATATATATATGTATATAGGTAAAAAGCGAAAATCTGATACCTTGCCAACCAAAATCCATGATGAATCTGTTGGAAGATTGTCAGTAAAAGAAACGTTGAAACTGATGGAGATTTAGTCCACAACGGTGAACTTTGGAACGAGATTCGACAATAAAACAGTTTCAAACTGTTGAGTTTTGAAATGTCTATAGCTATTATCATTTTCATTAAACATCGTTGAATTTTAGAAATAAATAAATAAAATAAATATTCCATTGATTTTTATGTCAGATATTTCTCTCTTAGATAGAGTAGTTTATACTCCTCCACGCACACGATGAGGCAAAAAAAATATTAATCAACAATGGCCGGCTATACTGCGGTTCACAAGTGTTACTTCGACGACAAATATGAACTTCGATAGTCGGATTACATGATTTGATCGTTAAATGTTTAACATGACGGGGTTGATTTATCTAAACAATTCCTTATATTTTTTATTGTTCCACTTAGTATAATTGATATATTGGGATGATGTTTAAAATTCGACAATTTTTTCAACTGATATTTTGAACGTATTTTACCATAAAAAGAAAATAGATTAGATACTTTTATTTGCAGATAAAAATAGGGATATTTAAAACATAACGAATTATTCTTATTTTTTTTTCTGAAGTTCTTAAACAATATGTCAAGGTGTTAATAAAAATATTGTTAAATATAATAATATTTTATATGTTTAAAGTTAAATTTTAAACATCGCCTATTATTACTTTTAAAGTATACCGAAAATAGTCAAATATTGCATACTATTGTTATACTCGTATCTTATACGAAAAGTAGATGGATAGAGAGGATCTGTATCCTCTGCAAAATTAATATCTTCAGCAACACATAATATTTTGTTTGTTGCTGCGTATAAATTGAAATATTAGGGGAACCAATATTCACCCCCAAGTCGGTGGTGACTAGCCGGTCAATATCGTCGACGATTTTTTTTTTTCTGATCTAATAATGTACCGGAATAATAAAATGGAATTTGCGTTTATAATGCCGCAGTATAATAAGACGATCGCATATTATATTATACATATATTATAATATGACCGAGATATTTCATTTTTTGTTCTCCCACAAAACCCGTATCAAATTCCTGTTTCGATCAAAACACGTGGTGTATTTAATAATATGATCGCCGGTCGACGGGCAATATATATTTTCAGCATCGTTTTTAAATAATTATTTTAGATTCTGAATAGAATGAGGAATGCATTGGTTTTACAATGGTGTTTTTTTTTTTATTTATTTGAACAATTTTTACCAGAAAGCATACTCCGATTATCAAGTATGACACTTTTTCTGAAAGAAAATTTTTTTTAGGTGGTACTTTAGAGAGGTCATTTTATGAAATCCTCATAAAAATTAGAGATAATGAGGAAGACCGAGGTCTTTAGGTTAAAAAAGATTGAAAGATTAAAAATAAGGTTGTCATTGGCAACCGTTTTTATTTATTTTTTTGTTATTATTAAGTTTCTATTATTTTAATCTTTGCTAAACAATCATTGTTGTCATGGAAATGCACATTATTTTAATCATTTTACCATAATATGACATAATACCATGTATTGTATTATTGACAAAGCAACATTTTCAGCTGAACTTGGCTCAGAATCGATTTTTCGTTAGCAATGGTTTATCTTTGCCTACAGATAAACATTAAATTCCCGTATGTATCCTACCTTCCCAACATCCTATCAACAACAGTGGCTGCACCCACGTGTGAAATATTTCTCTGTTATAAAACTTAATATTTATTGTGATAATCGTAAAATAAATTAAATTGTTTACCTACGCAAACAATTTTCACGTGGGCTAGAACCATTAATAAAGGAGGTCGCTATATAGCTCTATATTATAAAGAAATGAAACTTTGCGATAAAAAAATTATTTAAAAAAATGGAGACATTTAACTGTACAACAATGTTTATAGTGTTTTAATATCGACATTATAAAATAAAGGTTTTCGATTTTGAAAAATTATAAGATTTTAAATTAATAGGTAATACTATAAGTCTGTATGTTAGTGATATCGATAAAAAGAAGCTAAAAATGTTGTTCGTAGGTAATAAAAAAGTTTTCATTATTTACGGCGAAAATTTAGGTTTTTTAATATTAAGACTATATATATTATGCATAACATCACTAAACGGTTTTCACTAACTATTTATGGACGCGTTCCACAAAGAGCTTACCAAGAAAAACCGCTGAAAAATGTCTTAAAAAATGAGTGTCCCTAATTTTTAACGTCATTATAGGGTGCTCACTGTAGCTTATAATATATATTTTTATTATTTTTTTTTTTATATAATAAATAAAACATCTTATTATAATATTTGTAATAGGTAACAGAAAAAAGTTTTATTTGTCATAAAATAATCATTTGGAGCATACGTATTTTTTTAAGTGGTAGGATATGAGAACTTCATTTATTATTATAAAAAGACTAAAGTTTCTACTTTCTATTTGTAGAAAACACAGCATATATTAGAAAAAAATATATATTTATAAAATGCTCGAAATTGAAAGAAGGCCTATTTATAATTATTTTTCAGATATTTTCTGAACGCAGCGATGTGTGCTATTTTTAGGTACTGAGCGAAGCGAAGAATGTATTGATTTTACTTTATTGTATTCTAGTAGAGATTTTTTTACCAGAAATTTTTTCCAATTAAAAAATACCAAAAAAGGTTTTTTGTAAAATTTTGTATCTAATGAGATAAAAAATAACCTATAAATAACATAATTTTATCTTTTATCTAAATTTATAGATACTAAAACTTCATATTAATAATTATTTTTATTTAATAAATACATACAGATAATGAATTATAAGTATTTCCCAAACATAAAAATTCCTAAAAGTATAATTTTTTCTAATCGCCATCTTGAAAATTAACAAATATATCACATAATTATGTTTTTTACCATACAAATTAATGTTTAATATTAAAAAAAAAAAATACTAAGTATTAAAGAGGTATCTAAAATAGGTATACCGCTTTGAATATTGCACTATATGTTTTGTATCTGAATAACCTACATTATTTTTAATATACTTTTTTTATGACATTAATTAATAAATGTATTCAATAATTATTTTTATTTAATATTATTATCTTTATTATTTATTTATGTCATGTAGTTTACCGAAAATTATATATTTTTGAATATAATAATAAGCGAAGAGGCTTAGGTTATAAGTTGACCGGTTCTACGTACTCTGTACAGACTTATGGCCAGACAGTCTATTGCAGAGGAAAGTTCATTCTATAAATTATTTTAAAAATAAGCTGTACAGGTATTAGATGGAATTGTACTTATAATATTTAACCCGTGATAAAATCCTAATATCATGGAATTTGTTTAAATATATTATTGGGGAGGTATGTTATACAAAGTGCCTAGGAAACAATATTTTTTTCGCATTTAAGTATGTACTATACAATCGTATTAAATATTAATTTTATGTTCATTCAGAGGTAATTTCCAAAAAGCTCAGAAACTAAAATCAGAATTAAAAAAAATTATTTAAATGATAAAAAAAAGTTATGTACCGAGATGCCCTGCAGAATATCGAAACACACAATAGTATATTTTTTTTTATACAATATACAGTTTCGAAAAAAAACCTCTATAGTGATTTGATTTTTTAATAAGATAGTTAAATTCCGTTTTATTATACGGCTCGTTCGAAATACTCGGAATCGGACCCTTGAGCTGCGTACAGATATTATTTTATTAGTAAAAAACCTCTCCTCTCGTCTTATTTTAATTTTATTTTCGCTCGAAAATTCTTGATTGAATTTTGTATACATAGATAATAATAGGTGTTATTATTTTGTAATTACCAAGTACAAAAACAAAGAATATTTTATTCACCGCGTACGTTTGTTCACCTGATATAAATTTGTAATATTTGCTGAAAACTCGTAGGCTCATTTGAAAATTCCTTACGCTTGTTGTCATTTTATATTTTTTAAATATTAAACAAAAAAAAAACAATTAACTACCCACCAAAATAACAAAAATTTTTTGTATAACTACCCGCAGACATTAAAATGTTTGCTAGCGAATTTCATTTATAATTTGTAATAAAAGGTTTTATGTAAATTACATTTGAGTATCGGCAGGTTTTTGGATTTATTTTAAAGTTCAAAATTTGCAGTAGCTCTGGGCAATCAATTATATTCTTATATAATAAGTATGAAAACTTCAATTTAATTTGTGATTATAAATCGCTGTTCTAACATTTGCATGTTGAAAAGCTGTTCTAGGAATAAGGACGAGTGCAGTCACTGTTATGTTCACCTGTGAAGTTGGGAAGGTAGTAGAGAGGAAATTTAATGTGTATCTGTTAGTAACGATAAATCATTGCTAACGAATAAACGATTCTAAGCAGATGTCATATTATGGTAAAATAATTACACATGCATTATAAATTTTCTTTAATAATATTTGTTTAATATTGTACCTTTTTTCCTGATTTTTCTATTTATAGGAAAGGTACTAACCTTCCTAGTCCGATTTCCCTTAGAAAAAATGCTATTATTGTAGATCGGAGCCAAATTGCTTGTAGGAAAGTTGTCTACGGAAAAAAAAAAAAGAAAAAAATAAACATCATGGTTTTACATCATTGTAAATCAATACATGCCTCGCTCCACTGTGAAACTAAAAAATAATTATTATATCATAATCAGAATGTGGAAATCTAAAAATAAAACATTGGTAATAGAAAAGTCTGATAAAATTATTCTGGATTTATTTTAAATTTTGAATTTGTGTTACTAAATATGGATATCAAATCAAGTTCGGACAATCAAAATGCGAACGAACTAGTGAATAGTATAATGATTTGAATGCATACTCACCTTTTAAATTTCTTGTGACTGCCCTAATGATAAGATAAACATTTTATAACAAAAGAAAACATAGAATATAACCTTAAGTTTTAATCCCGTCTATCTCTTTTCCAGAAAACATTTTAATACAATTTTTCGAAATTAGATGCCAAAAATGTACGGTCCCCTTTTAGAAAACGTTACTGATGTATAAAAAAAACTTAACCTCAAGTATTATAATATTGTACCTATCTTTCTTCTTTTTTTTAAAAAAAATTTGTGACCTGCAGTTTCAATTTCCGAAATCATCTTTGAATACACAGAAGCTACTACGGAGTATAATAAAGACAAATTACGAGAAATACATATAGCAAAAAACAAAAAAAATTTTTTTGATCTCGCATTTCTCTGTATATCGTAAGCTCAACTTATCGCTGAAGCAATACATATATTTATTGCACTTGCAATTCGAATAATGTACGAAATAAATGTCGTCGTAGCAACGATTGAAAGAACACTCCCGGAGCTTAAATTCCAAGTAAATGCCACCGCGTTATACCTTTGAAATGCCGCGCATATTAGTGGCTATATCGATAAAAAAAAAAATGAAAACTTAAATGAAAAAGAATATTCTGAGAACATTGTGGTAAAGTATTTAAATGGAATAAGTAAAAAAAAAAAATTACTTCTTTTAAAGTATCATAAATCGCACACTTACTCGGTTATATTTACAATAAACCTAATATTACAATATGCGCCATTATTATACAGTTTTCAGTCACATATTTAATTTGAACAAAGAAAGACTATTGAAAAACAAAAACAAAAATGATTCATTCGTTTACGCTTCCACGCTGAAAATAATATTATCTCGCTAGAAACCAATGGTGGAGGTCACATCAAGATTTAACTTACTCTACAACTGACCTAACTAGCGGTGTTATTAAAAAAAAATACTTATAAACAGTGAAATATTTACAGAGGATATAGGATTTTCACCTTCCCCACCCCAGAGTTATACAATTTCTATAATATTTATAGACTTGGTATGATTTAAGTGGACTTGGCCGTCTACATTGAGTTAATGCAGCCTCTCCCCTCCAAATAAAAAAAATCGTAAATACGTCATTGCTGGTACACAAATTGGTTACGAATATAATATTATTTTAATAAAATCACTATTAGGAGCCGATACAGAATATTTGCAAATGATACCCACTCAAACTTGGTAATTTATACTACCAAGTCAGCAATTTAAAAATTTAAAATAGACGAAATTAATAATTACTTGGTTTTTTATTTTTTAGAGGGTTGGTAAATATGTTATGGAGTGATTACTGTTTTAGTAATAATATAACGTTATAAACTACTTTATTATTTTATTATCATATATCAAATAGTATAAAGTATAGATGAGTAAAATATTTTTTAAAAATATTCAATAGCACCCGTCTGTCGAATTTTGTTAGTGCGACCGGCTCCCCCAGGATTGCATATAGTTATAGGAGTACGAAAATTATATGATAATAAAATTATATTATTGTATCCTATACACGTGGGAAAGACTCATTCGAACCGCCTCGATAAATTCCGATAACAATCGATTCGCGTCTCCCGGAGTGGAATATTATATTTCCAGTTTCAAGTTACCTTCTCCCTACATACATGCTGCAGTTAAAAAAAATAAAAATACGAATTACAATTATGCAGTTTTTTTCATATACCTAGTACGGATAGGTTTAAATCTGTTTTTAATTTGTTATCAATATCCATATATACACGTAGCTTTGGAAATGATTCCGCATTAATGGTTATTTGACCATCACGAGTATTGCATATAAAACTGATGTAAACCTAAAATAATAAAATAACATAAAATAACCATTGACTGCAAAAAAGTTTATAATCTTTCTTCTTTGAATTTCGGTCAATAGTATTTAAATTTTAAATTCCCTTCTTCACCCAGAAATCAGCAATTTGAATTGCATTGTGTTTTAATTGTTTTCTTAAAAAATCCATCATCTTTCCTCTTACTGGTAACATTGGGCATTCCATTAAATGGTTTGTTGTTTGCACGTTACCACACTCACAATCTGCGTCACTTCCCCCATTTGCTCATATTTTATTTCAGATCTTATTCTGTTAATAGTCTTCCATGTACACCAAGATAAGTCTATCCTAAAGAAAGGAATTCTGCCGGATGTCCCCATAGTTCATTTTTGTCGTTATCGATGGTGACTCGCTCATGCCACTTTTTTAACTAAATTACAGTTTGCAGTTCTGTGACTACCAAATAGTGCGATGGGTTCACTGATTTTAATAAATGGTTTTCTAGATAATATTAGTCTGTTATTAATTTGAACTTTACCAAACATGGGCTGTCTATGGTCAACTAACTGTTTTTTTTCCTTTTCGCCTATTTCTCTTCTAATGTCTGGAAGAGCAAACCCACCCAAAATCTGAATCTTTTATTTTGGTGTGAGTCTTAAACATCCAGTAATTATTCTGTTTATGTTGTGTAGGGCTACGTCTTCTTGTTATAATTCTAATAACAATAAATTGATGTGTCACGAACACGGTATTTATGGAAAATAAATTGTTTAGTTCAAAACCACGAAAACTATTAGTATGTAATTCACAATCAATAAGTAGAACAAAATACACATTACTCATAGAAAATATATATGTGTATAAAAAATAAATTTAAAAAGTCATGATATATTGTTACATAAAAATTATAAATAAAATGCATAGTTGCTAATATAAGTGTCGTGTAAAGATAATTGTGGGAACTTTGTCGCCGTAGATCTATGATGTGTCTATAATGTTAGTATCCCTAATGTTGGTGGTCTAATTGTGCTTATTCATACAAGATAATATACATGATACGGCACGGCTCTCGGGCTGTGGCGTCGATGCGCCGTTGTTGATTTTCTCGATAAGTATACTTACGCGTGACTGTCAACATAGCATATACTTGTGTGTTTACGTGGTGTTTGTAATTTCGTTTTCTTACGCCATGTAGTGCTTTATTCAGTGTTTGTTAAATAGTGTTAAACAAAAATCAAAATGAAAAAGTTTTTAATACATTTTTCAAAATCAAAATCTAATAGAAATAATTGAGGAGACAAACCAAAGTCTCCTTCAATACATACAAATGAGCTGTTCTAATTAAACATTTAATTCTTATGCTGAACTTCAACCAGCACAAAGTATAGGATTCAACATAGGTTTAAATTTTGATCAATCCCCAATACAGCCAAACATATCGTGTATTCCTCATTAGATTTTTTATCCATTAGATTAACAACCCAATGGATTTCGATGTTCCTTGAACAATTTTAAACATCTTATTTTCAATCCGATTGCTTTTCGATACATCCGATTGACAACCAACAAACATGGCTGGTGCACGAGATGATGGAAAGGACGTTAGATTGATAAGATTTGTTATCAATAGATGAGTTAATAAATATTGATAATTAAATTATTTTACCTACCTAATTCGATCTATGAACTTATACGTCACATGCTGTTGTATTCTTAAACTTGATTCTAATTTAAATTTTCAAACTAATTTACTAAGAATAAATATTATGTCAGACCAATTTAAAATTAGTATTTGTTTAACAATAAGAAAACTTAGGAGAATACGTTTTATGTAATATAATTCAGGAAGGTATTACTTGTTTTAACTTTAGTTTTATACTTTCTATTATAATTTTTAATTTTGAAGAAAAAAAAAACATATATGTCCACGGAATTACGTCTTATACAAAATGGTATAGTATTATCCATTTTTACTTTTTATAGTTATGTTTGTGGATATAGGTTTGTGAATAAAATCGCTGAGATTGCGGAATGATAATGGCTCTCTGATAATATGTTGATAATGCTAGCTAATGATAACAAATTTAAAAAAAAAAAGAGTGTTCTTCGACAATCAATCCGTAATCCCATCAGATTGAACATAAGATGAGTAAATTGTTTTTAGTGAGGAACAGACGGATAGTGTTTTCTTATAAAACAATAAGCTAAAATTAAGGTTATTTAAATATCTATATTGTAAATATTTTTTTTCTGAATTAGGATATTGAATATAATTATTTAATTTTTTATGTAAAAAATCTTACATCCTAAAAACTCAAATAAATTATTGAACTCTTAACCCTACAACAAGCACTAACTTACAGGGATTTAGTAACTTTTATGTAAAAAAAATATGCTCTTTGTATATATGTTTGATTACAATAAATATTATTGATCATAAAAGTTAAAAAAAAAAAAATAGTAATTGGAACCAGTTGGATTGAATATTCTGTAAAAAATGATAAAATATAATGTTTTTATTGTAGAAGTTTTTTTTTCATAAAGTCAAGCATTGAATACCTAATTCAGATAGTTTAACTTTGTATTATTATTCAGACTGAAAACATATTAATGTTATAGCCAAAGTCCATAATAAATGTAAAACCTGTAAATGTTTTAATATTAATATTTGTATATGTGTTAATTTTTAAGAGAAAAATTTGCCCGTCAGGGGTGGACGAAAATAATTTGCATATTATACATATATTATCCACCTATATTCCATCATATTTCAATGACATGGAAATTAACACATAACACTGACCATGGGATAATAGGTTGATTTGCCCCCTGGAAACGCCAGTGATACCCTTACAAAAGTTGAGTTCTAGAACCGTTTCTGTCCAGGATCCGCTGACTGGATGTTGTTTTTCTTGATACAGAAAATAAATAAAAGAACACAGCTTTTGACTATGCGTACTATAAAAAGATTTGGAAAGACTTCGTGATCACAGCAATGATCCTTAACAGACAGATCCGCTTAACAAGAATGATAAAAAGAAAGTTTTAACCATATTTTCCTAAGACTTATATTATAGTTATTAAAAGAAAATAATTGTAAATTTTAGGCAGTTTGAACCAAAGTATTATTTAGTAATTTACTATACAGTTTAAAATGCCGAATTATGATAGAACTATAACGAACTCTATACATCGGCACCGACGTCGACGTGACCGGGGCACGAATGTTTTTTAGTACGAATTCGTTAGTGGATTTTTTTTTTTCAAAGGGTTGAGCTTCAATAATTAACATCGAAATTTCACTGTTGAAAATGCGTCGACATCATACCTAAACTGTACAAAACGTAAAGAGCAAACTACACGCTTTGTGTATATATTATTATATATTGTATAAAAACCAGACCAAAAAAGATCACTTCATTACGACATAGGTTTTTTTTTTTTCACGGTCGAACTACCAATAAAAACTTTATTATTCATCTTTGTCTTTTGGATTTGTGCGAGTAAAACTATTAGTTTTACAACCGCGGCGGTGCTCGGTTTCTTTTCAATTACCATATTTCAAGCCGTATATACACATAAACGCGTCCCGAGAAAGTTTCTTATATAATATTATAATACGCAGCCATCGGTTCGTTTGGGTACAAACTGCTGTGTATAGTACACTCACACTCTAAATTTGTAACCGAGAAAATTAACTACATAGCTAATATGCAAATTGCTCGGTGTGGCTACCTATCAATTATTTTAACCTTACTCGCTATATAATAATATTAAATACTATTACACATTGTATACTCAGGGGAAGTTTATAGATAGTTGCGGCGTCGGTGATCCGCACAGTGGCTTTAGAATATAAAATAACGCGCAGGCAGTTTTTTACATCAAATAGGTTTTTTGAATTTAATGAGCGCGTATAAATTGAAAATCGAGCGGTAATTTTATAAAAATAAAACGGAAAAAAGACAGGTCTCACAGGCTGTGATAGCAGAAAAACAAAAATGGACGGACAAAACATATTTTAGATCAAATTTAATTTTTATATAAGGTCGCGAATCGAGCGAATAGTGGTATAAAGCAATATTGGAATAACTTTAGGTTATGTTCTACGATTTGTCAACTTCTCTGGGGTATGGGCAGTGACTATTTCCCCAAACGCAAATATGTCAAAGGTAACCAAGTTTAAATGATTTTATATGACATTTTTAAAAGAAAAGGGAAGCAAAGTCAGAGCAGGAAAAATAAGAAAATGTTATGGCATGGATATGTATGTAAATGAAAGAAAGGGATAATTTTTTTCTCCAGAAGCATACATATTCGAGATGTACCACTGGATATGGAGGGTTTCCGTAAACTGTATAATTATTATTTGAATTGTATTATTTTTGTTGAAAGTTTAAATAATATAATAACTTTATTTGTATCGTTTTAGTCCGACGCGAATGCAAAATCAACCTAACGGTTTGATAATTAATAACCCGATAAACTTTTTTTCTGGTCAAAGTGGTCGCGGAGTTATTTTTATAGTTGGTATACTTCATTTAAAAAAAATGTTTCGATATAATTAGAAAAATATTATTATCCTTTACGGTGTATTATAATAGGAGTGAAACTTTTCACCCGCACGATAATGGGAGGTTTTTTATTCAAAATTTTAAAAAACCCCAAAGTTTTAATAGTATACTAAAAGATAATAATGATATTTAATAACTTTGGCAAATCAAACAGCAAAGATTTGAATGAAAATCAATTTCGAAATTGAGAAAATTAAGTTTATCATTCAAATTAATCCCGAGTTAGTATTAATTAGGCAGCTATCGCTCACGTGTAAAATGTGCAAGCTTCAGGAAATTCTAAAAAAAAACCATTTTTGATCCGTTTATGTTTCTTTAATTGTTTTCTCTTTTAATTGTACATGCTAATATAATATTTGAAAAATTCAAATTCTATACCCCGATCGGTATTTGTGTTACAGAAATTGTTTTCAACTAAAATACAAATTTCTTAGATTTTATGTATATTATATTATCTATAAGTTTGATAAAAAAAAAAGATTGTAAGTGGTTAGTTCGGAATGTAGGATATACAGGGTCACTCAGTTAATATATTGTGTGCAACATAAAATCATTGAAAGCAAAAAAACTGTTTTGAACTAAGTACTGTATCAATAGTATTAGTCTTATTTTTTGCATCGGAAATTAACAAAAATAAAACTGTTATAATATCGTCATTATATGTTTTATTTTTTTTTTTTTTAATTTTATAAATAAAATAAATAAATTGCATAACTTTTGAGTCTAAATATTTTTTTTTCAAATAAAGTTCAATCAAGTGAAATATTCTCATCTTTTAAGGTATGACGTAAAATAATCGGAGCAGTTTTACAAGACAAAACGTGTTTTCTGAAAAAAAAAAAACCACACATCATAGTAAAACTAATTGCGACACTGAAAAACTAAATGTAATTGCAAATAATTGTCATTTCTCGTTTTAATATAAGAAGAGTTAATGTATTTAAAGATTTTAGTGTTAATCTACACAACATCATCAGGGGTGAACGATTTTAGGTATCGATAGAAAAAAGAAATACCAACAAGTTAAAAGAATTCGTGATGAAAATGAGCGTTTTAACGGAAAATATTTTGTGCACAAAACACAATATACGTTTGTGTCGTAGAGACAAAACATCGTATAAAATGTACAATTTTGTTTTAAATCAAATACGACGGGCGATATATTTTACGCTTACAATATTGTCTATGCTCGAGCACGTTGTTTTTTCGTTTTTTTTTTTTTTATTGGCGGAGTAGTGGAAAAGTACCGACCTACCTACAAACCTACATATACATTTTTAAACGAAAATAAGTGCATTCGATAACATATTTTTGACCGTCATAAATCAAGCAGCAATCCGCGGAGGTTATATTGTTGCTGTGAAAAAAAAATCTGTTCAAATAATAATAATACACTGCTGCAGAGGCAAATTGACATGCGCCATTACATTCCCACGTATATATATGTTTATATACTTAGATGTATTATTATTGTGTACAGCAATAGTTACCGGTTGTACGCCATTTGTCCAAATGTCCACTACGCCGTGAACGTGTTATTATTTTTGCTATTTTTACCGGATGTATACGAAACGCACCGTTAAAAACAAAAAAAAAAAATGCCCGTCATTGTGTAGCTTCGCGGAGTACAAAACATTTTTTTTTCTCTTTTCATAATTTTATATATAAATTTTCCCTTTATTCAACTTTGTCGGTTTTTATTTATTTATTATTTTTAGACAGAGTGCATTTCAGTTTATATAATATTATGTCCGCCATACCGTCCTGTGCAGTCCGTTCAGAAAACTCCGATCTTATAAACTTAATGCCCACACCCGGAGACCCCTACCCACCTCAGTGTGTTTTTTACCCGTTACAACGCTTTAGACGTCCATTTGACCTAATTATTCCGTAGTATACGTCCGGGTAGTTAAGAAAACTTTCTTGATGTAAACTAGGTACGTAAAAAAAAAAGACGTCCAAGGATAATGGGGTCGAGTGCAGCCACTGTTATATATAATTTAATGTAAATCTGTAAGCATTGCTAACGAAAAAACGATTCTGAGCGCAGTTCAGTTGACGATGAAGCTTTGTCAACAACGTATATGTCATATTATAGTAAAACAATTAAATAGGCATTATATATTTTCTTTAATAACGTTATTAATATTTGTTTGACCTAATTTTTTTACACAACGATTTTCGTCAAAATTTGATATTAAAATTCCTTTATAAAAAAAAATACTATATTAAACTGAAATTTTCTTTTTTTTTGACCACAAAGTATATACCTCATGAACCTCCTGTTAAATTGCCTTGCATTTTTATTAAGTTAAACAATTTTACCATAGAGTACCTACCAAATAAAAATTACGTAAAAACTCACAAAATTAAAATGTCTGTAAATAGCTCAAAAATGGTTTCAATTTTTTAAAAATTTTATCACGTCTTAAAAAGGTAAATATAAGTTTTCTATCTAAATTTCAAGTTTTTATGAAAATTTTTAACTGAATATCAACAAATAATAAAATATGACAATAATAAAAGCATTATTTTTGTGAATTTCCGGTTTTTCTTAAATTTTATCCTGGTTTTTCGCAGTTATTATGAAAACCGCAAGGAAAATCAAAAAATGACTGCCTAAATATATCATCTGGACAACATTCCCTTTCATAAATGGTACGTAAATATCTGAGCAAAATTTCTGGTCAAATTTTTATACGCAGTAAAAAAAAGTTCGGTTTTGTTTCTAGCATTTAAGTTCGGAGAAAAATTTATCAAGCGCATTGTGTTATTTGAAACTACAATATGCAAATTATGTATTTATTCTATATTTTTGTAATATGTGTTTAATATATATTTACGTTTTATGCCACTTGAGCACATAAATAAATGAGAGTATTATATAAAATACTTGAAATTACGCTAAAAACTTTTCGAAATAAAATTAAATACAGTTTTCGAACAAAACATAATAATATTATATATATAAGTACTTATACAGTGTGTTTTTTTTTTCAAGACTCTAAAGTCCGAACTTTTTAGATACGTGCGTACCTAATTTACAGTGGCGTTCTCAGGAATTTCTATTGAGAAGGGGAAGAGTATAACATAAATTACTTTAAAAAGTAGCCATGGTGGCTGCGTTCCCCCACCTCCAAATGACAATAGAATAAGTAGGTATAGATTAAATTTTAATTACAATACTTCCTATTTTTCAACAAAATGCACTTATTTTAGAACAATATCTATTTTTCTTGACGTTAATACCATTATATAAAGGATATCATCAAGATGAACAACTATTTCATTATGAAGTGATAATAATGTTAATCTATTGATACGATTCTATGAATTTCATACAATTGAAAAAATAGAGTGCATAGTATTTATTATTTTACCCCTTACTTCGCTCATTGTGTTCTTAAGATAGTTTTTCAATCTTTTTATACATAAATCTAACACGATAATTCAAAATTATAGACACTTATTATTAAAAATGTATTTATTTTAAACTAAAATATTTTACATTATACAAAAGAACTTCTCCTGCCTCAGTTAATTAATTAGGGTACATACCTACATTTTATTCCACGATTACTAGCTATCATCTATCTGGCCTATCAGTTATTTTATAAACGTTGTATCGTTATTATGTATTAGTTAATGTTTATTACATTATAGTTAATATTATTATGTTACAGTTTACTTTGGTATGTCATATTCTTAATTATTAATATTCTAGTTTAACGTAGGTAGCAGAAGTCGAGAGAAACGAATAAAACTATACTCATTTCGAAATTCAATATTACTTATCCACATATATTTATCATTATCAATAATCGATATCGAGCAAGACAGAAAAAAAGAAATTAGTTTTACAATAGTGATGTATTCTTTTCTTTTCTTTTTTTTTGTCGAAAAAACTTTTTTTAGGTAAGTAAAAAACGCTCAAAAACTTTCATCCGGTGGTAGCACTACCACCAAATTATCAATAGGTAATTGAACACGGATTATGTTGTGTAGCTACTGTATATACTTAGGCGAGGGTGATTTTCTAAATTTCTCTGTTCGGCGCCCTGAAAATCACAATAACGAGAAATAATAATGATAGGTACCTTTGCTTATAATATTTCAGATATATATATATATATATTATGCTGCATGCAAAACGTTAACATATTGGTATGTCTCTCTCACTTCTCTCACTCGAGAATACGATTTACATTATTTTATTCATCGCTTTTTAGAGATTCGAAAATAATAATAAATTACTGAATTGCACGTCCGAAAACAGTTTTAGCCTTATACCTGCACTGCAAAGTAGCAATAATGTTTTATATAAT